AGATCTTGCTTCCTGTCATATGTCATCAATTTGTCTCAAATAAAATCTTTAAAAAATTTTTTTAGAAAACATTTAAAAATCTAATGTCTAGGAATAAATCTAGGAAAACATTTGTAAGACTTCTACACTGAAAACTATAAAACAATACTAAGAGAAATGAAAGAAGACCTAACGGAGAGATTTACCATGTTTACTGATTGGAAGATTTTGTAATATTAAGATGTCAATTTTTCCCAAATTGATCTATAGATTGAATAACACCCCAATCAAAATCCCAACAGGCTGTTTTTGAGGGGGGCGGGGTGGATATGGCAAGCTGATTCTAAAACATATATATAAATGCAAAAGACCCTGGAATAGCCAAAGTAGTTTTGAAAAAGAAGAACAAAGCTGGAGGATTTACACTAAACAATACTAAAGAATTAGTATAGAGCTATAGGTATTGGCATACGGGCAGACAAATAGACCAATGCAATAGAATAGCGGGTCCAGAAACAGACCCATGCATATATGATTTACAAGGGCTCCACTGCACTTCAGTGGGGAAAGAATGGTCTTTGCATTAAATCGTGCTGCTTAATAAGATATATGAGAAAAACGAATGTTCACCCCTACCTCACACCAAACACAAAAATTAATTCAAGCTGGGTCATAGATAAAAATGTGAATGCTAACACAATCAATCCTCTAGAAAAAATATAGTAGAATATCTTTATGAACTTGAGCTACATAAAGACTAAACAGAACACAAAAGCACTAACCATGAAAGGAAAGAACAATCAATGTATTGGGATTCATTAAAACTAAGAATATCTGTCATTAGAAGACAGCATTAAAAGGGTGACAAAGCAAACTACTGACTGGGAGAGGATGTCCCAAACACATAAAAAAAAAATCAGTAAGAAACAGATAGCTTAATTTTAAAATGGGTCAAAAATTGAAGATACATCACAAAAGAGAATATCACTAGTCATCAGAGAAATGCAAATTAAAATCACTTTAGAAAAATGTTTGGTAGTAATAAGGCTAAATTATTTCTGTGACCCAGCAATTCCTCTCCTGGGTATATACCTATGAGTATTTAAGTCCACCAAAACACAGAACCAGAATGTTCATAGCAACTTTACTCATAATGTCCAAAAAAAAGTAGAAACAACCAATGTCCATAAACAATAGAATGGAATTTTGGGGGTATGTTCATACAATCGAATTTTACATAATAAAGAAAAAGAACAAACTACTGACATGCTCAACAATATGACTGACTCTCGCAGACATGATGAGTGAAAGAAATATGACACCAAAAAGAACGCACTTTGTGATCCCATTTATGGGTTATCCTTAGGGGCAGTTCTGACTAGACAGAGACATGAAAGAGAATTCTGGGGTGCTGGAAACTTCTATATATTATCTGGATGGTGTACACACAGGTGTATACATATATAAAAATCCATTGACCTCATTTTATTATCTATATGTTATAACTCAATTTTATGTATTTATTTTTATTTTTATTATTATTATTTTATGCCTACAGCACCTGGTCTTCCTAGGTGGTCTCCCATCCAAATACTAACCAGGCCCGACCCTGCTTAGCTTCCAAAATCAGACAGGATTGGGCTTGTTCAGGGTGGCATGGCCATAGACTATGGACCGTGGCTCCATTGGGGCACAAACCCAGGACCTTCTATGTACAAAGCAGACGTGCTAACCGCTACACTATCGAACCACGTCTTATAACTCAATTTTTTAAAAGTTATGCTAGCAGCTATTTAAAAACTAAAATTAAAAAAAAAAACTAAAATATATGTAACCCCAAATGAAACCATGCTACTGCACCCTCTTAGTACAACTAGGACCTCTGTCCTGCTTTTGGATTAGGCGATGTCAGGGATGGCTCAGGAATGGACACAGCCTCTTGTTGTTGAATGGCCAGGTGCACCTGCCAGGTGACAAACTGTGCTGCTGCTGGGGTGAGATGGTAGCCAAGCCCAGTGCTTCTCAGTTCTGGCAGAACATTGTCTCTTCAACTATTTTTTATTTTTAAATTTTTTTGTTAAATTTATTGTGGTGACATTGATAAATAAAATTATATAGGTTTCAAGTACATAATTCAATAATACATCATATGTATATTGCATTGTACATTCACCACCCAAAAGTAAATCTCCTTCCATCACTATATATTTGAGAGAACTATTTTTTAATTTAATTTTTTATTGTAGTAAAATATGCATAAGATAAAATTTACCATTTTAATTTTTTTAAGTGTGCAATTCAGTGGCATTAAGTACATTTACAATGTGGTACAACCATCACCACCATCTACCTCTAGAAGTTTTTCATCCTCCCAAACGGAAACTGTGCCTATTAAACACTAACTCCCCCTCCCTACTCCTCCAGCCCCAGACACCACTATTCTACTTTCTGTGTGAATTTGATGACTCTTGGGACCTCACATAAGTGGAATCATACAGTATTTGTCCTTTTGCATCTGACATCTTTCACTGAACATAATGTTTTCCAAGTTCATCTAGGTTGTAACCTGTATCAGAATTTTATTCCTTTTTAAGGCTAAATAATATTCCATTTTATGGCTAGACCATATTTTGTTTATTCTTTCATCTGTCTATGGCCACTTGGGTTGTTTCTACCTTTTGGCTCTTATGAATAATGCTACTAGGAACATGGGTGTACAAATATCTGTTCAAGTCCCTGCTTTCAATTCTTTTGGGTCTGTGTACCAAGAAGTGAAATTGCTGGGTCATAAGGGCATTCTATGCAGCAATATTTTTAAAAAGCCACTGCTCAGCCCAAACCACCCAGAGATTTAGTTGGCCTGGGGTAGGGCCCCAACATGGAATATGTTAAAGCTACCCAGGTGATTCTAATGACCAGCCAGAGCTGAGAAACACTGGACCAGAAAGTGGCTGAGAAAGTAACAAAGGAGGGGCATTAGCAGGCAAGAGTGAGGAAATGGCAGTGCCTCTGTGTGCCTGGGAAGGTCAGAAGGGCGAACCTCCAACTCCACCTCTGTAATTCCATTAGCCTCTCAGTGTTGGGGGTCAATCTTCCCTCCTGATCAGACAGCCATCTTTCCTGCCCTGCCGACCTCAGGCGTAGGGTTGCGAGATTTATCAAAGTAAGATACAGGACACTCAGTGAAATCTAAATTTCAGAAAAACAACAGATAATTTTTTTAGTATAAGTATAACCCAAGTAATACTTTTTTAAGTATCACTGTTTATCTGAAATTCAAATTTAACAGGGTATGCTGTTAAATTTGACCTAGTACCCCTACTCAGGACCTACTCTGATAGAATCCTCTCTCCCCAAGTGGGCATTCACATTTAGATACCTTGTCTTAATAAGGACAGAAGAAGAGACACCAACAGATGGGCCAGGAAGTACCGCACTCCCATGACCTCCCAGGAGCAGCATCAGAGGCTGATGAGGGGGTCTCCCCCAGTGGGGCAGCTACCTGGCCACCTGGGAACAGGCCATGCATGCAGCCCCAGATGCCACCTCAGCAGAGTGGAATCTACCACAGATGTCTGAGTGGGGTGACGTCCAGTGGCCATGCGCACCACCAGTGACAGGCAGCTCCTACCCAGTGCAGACAGCCTCCCGTGAGAGCAGCAGGAAGCCTTGCAAGCCCAGCTTGAAGAGGGGAGGACCGAGGGCAGGTGGGCTAGAGATCTTCAGTCTGCAGAGGGTCTGAGCTGCAGTGGGCAGGGCAAGGCCAGATGGACAATTGGGGGACTACTGCCACTTCCCTGGAGCAGGGCTTCCGCATCCCCATCTGTCTCTGAAAGCTTCATTTTGGGGTTAGGGTGACCTGTGCTCCCTGGTGTTAGTGTCGCTCAGGCCCATCCCTCAGGCTGGTCAATTGAGCTTCTGCCTCATCCCTGAGAAGACCCAGATCCCAATTTACTCGTTGTCTCTGCCAGTGAGTCCCATCTTGTCCTATGCTTCCCTCCTAGGGGCTTCAGCCTTAGCTGTCTCCTTGGCCTGTATTCAAACAGTGGCCTCTGCATTGGTGATTATAGGGGGCGCACAATGCTGACTTCTCGCCTGGGCCACCTGTATCTCAGGCCACAGCTTCTTGGCTGCTCCTCTCTCCTGACTTGAAACCAAACAGCCTTTCCCAGAGGAGGGAGGAAATGGTGCCTTTGCTGCAGGACATGGCCTTCCTAATTGTACTGGTCCCTGGAAACCTAGTGGGAAGATGGGGACAAGCTCATTCCTGGGAAGCCCAGCATCCCTGGGACAGAGGAGTGGATGCTCAGTCTATACTCCTGCCTGGGAGTCAGCTGCCAGGTAGCCCGTGGTGACCAAGAGTGAGCCCCTGGGCTCAGGACAAGCATGTGCCCCCATTGAGGGCCCCAGGAGCCTAGCCATTAGGGAGGACCTCAGCTCAGCACCTCTTCTCAGAAGCCCTCCATGTTCTGTTCTCAGAATGATGAGCCTCATGTCCATCCAAGGGTTTGGCTGGGAGAGGCCCCTGGGGGCTGCTCACCTGATATGAGGCAGCATTTATGGAGCAGGCACTAGTTCCTGGACCCCACTCTACTTGCTCCATTTCCCTTGGCCCTCAGGACCCTGGGACAGGTCTGGTATTGTCACCTCCATGTTACGGGGGAAGGGAGTACAGGAGTGGTACCCAGGTCTGTTGATTCCAAGTTTAGCCAGTGGACTGCACTGCTCGGCATCACTTCTGCCTGCCTACAGCACTTCCTGGCTACTTCCTGCTTCTCTTGTCCCATTACTGGTACCTAGGGATCTGGGCTTAGTCCCTTTGGCCATCCTTGGGCACGTTTGTTTATTCTATACCATGAACCAGTCCTGCCCAGCAGCTCATGGCACCCATGCAAACACCTTTCTGGAGCTACCCCGGCCACTCCTCCTCAGTGGCTCAGCTTCAGAAGTCATGGTCCTTCCTGCCAGCGGTTTCCTCGTCCTTCCCCATCCTGCACTGAGGCAGCCTGGACTCAACTTACCTCCTGGGCCTCATTGCCTCAGGGATGCCAAGATTGGGAGGCCGGGGGTGGCTCCATTTCAGCACTACTGTTCCAGTAGACAGAGGTATCTGGGCAGTGGTGGGGCTGTCCTGGGTCTCTCTGTGGCTAGTTGGCTGCGCTGCAAGCCCTCAAGATCTGTCCGGGGCAAGAATAAAGCCCATGCAGTCCACCAGCTCCCATAGTCCCTGAGCCCACCGACTATCACGGCAGCTGGGGCTTCTCACCTCTTCCTGTACTGGCTCCACCTCAACCCTCCTTCCTGTCTGATTTCAAAAGCCAACAGACAAATCGATGAGCCACAGCTGCCTCACCAGCTATCTGGCTTTGTCACCGCCCCATAAGTCAGAGAGGCAAGGAGTGCCACCAGGGTCTTGATTCAAGGACCCAGCACCCTGCAGACCTGACGCTCAGGAAAAAGTGGTCCAGTCAAAGCCACAAAGGAAAATAGACTCGCCATCAGTAGACCTTTGCTTTTTGGGGGGTGGTAGAGAAAGCAGGTGAACAGTGGGAATATTCAGTGTCTTACCCAAGGCCACACAGAGGGAAGCTGACTTTGCTGGGGCTGGATCTGTGTCCTCCCACTTTCAGGCCGGTGCGCTGTGACACACCATGGACCTCATTGCCCTTTCTAACCCCCTTTCCTTCTCTCTAGCACCCAAAAGCCACCTTCGACCCAACTGTACCCCACAATATCTTCCTGTGAGTCAAGGACACCCAAAGGCAGGTCAGCTACACCTTGAAACAGCAAGGTATAGCTGGCAGTTCACTCAGGCTCCTGGAGTTGGACCTCGGCATGTAGGCTGCACTGACAGGGTAGGTGTGAAGCAAAAGGACACGGCCCAGAGTGAAAAACATGAGATAAGTTACAATAGAGGAAAAATACAGTGATAGGGAAGAAGTCTCTTAGTGTGAAGCCACTGAGAGAAGCAGGTGACAAGGTGGGAGCCAAGTGACAGGGGCCTCAATTTTCCTCAGCAAGCAAGTTGGAGCCGGTGATGGTTGCAGAGCAAGAGAGTAGTGGGTTTGGATGCGTGCAGCAACTTGTGTATAAGGGGAGATGGGAGGAGGTATGTGTTCGTATTGTCCTCTTCTCAAGAGCTGTGTGTGGGTGATGGAGGGGAGGGGAGGGGACTGAGGCAGCAGATTAGAAGTGCTCCATACGATGACATCTTTCTGTGCCCCTCTTCCCACCTCCCTCCCATCAGTGCATTCTGAGAACCTAGCACACGGTGGCTACCCTCTGGAAGTCTGCTGAGGCTCTTGGCAGACAGAACGCAAACTGGTGGCTGCAGCCTGAGCCACAAGGTGCAGCAAAGGCAAAGGCATCTGAAACCAGGGCCACCCACAGGATGTTGGAAACCGCAGGGGCCTGGGGGTATCTGTCACATGAAAGAGGCCAAGAGCTCACTCTGCTTCTCCCTCCACAGCTCAGAATGGATGGTTCCTGTGCACAAGAGGAAACAGCCTCCTCCGTGGGGATTTCAGGGAACAGTCTGGAGTCAGCACTTTCCTGCCACCACCTTTTTTCCTCCCCCACCTTGAAGGGACGGGCCACCACCAGACAGGGGTGGTGATGGGCTCCCTCTGCCTGCTCTTCCGTAAGAAGCTAGGGAGCTTTCTCCTGACTCTCCCGGTGGTGTTTGTGTGTTTGGGGCAGGGTCTCCCCTGGTCATTCTCACTCTAGGGCTTTCTGTCCACCCAGAGCTGTGGTCAGCCCAAATAGCAGTAGTCTTGGCCCTTTTCAACTCAGTGACAGCTTGAGACTTCCTGCCTGTAGGGGTGTGGCCTTGCTGGGGGTTGTGTAGGTCCCTGGGGACCCCTCGCCTGGGCCCTGCTCTAGCTGGGCTGTGGTTCTCTTTTGATTGCCTTAAGTGACCATGCCCAGGCCATCACCAGGCCACAGGAAGTGGTACAGGCCCAGGAGCTCTTGTCACATTACCATGAAGTATTAGTGTCGCAGGTTTCGCCGATTAGTGAACATTCACTGCCCCAAGCTCAGCATGCTTTCTTCCAGTGCTAATTCCTCTTCACTGGCAGAGCAGAGCTTCTGGAAGGGAACCCCATACCCACTGTTTACCACTGGCTCTTCCAGCCTCTCTGCAGGCACTGGGAGAGGGCAGCTCTCATCACCAGTTTTTTCAACCAATCAACTGGCCCTAATTTCCCTGTTTCTGAGTCAGGTCTAATTTCCATGGAAGAGTCAAGGTTCTTTTCCTGGATACCACCAATTCTCTGTCCCTGATAGTTTCTCTACTGCAGTGTCTGGTTTTTAACCCCATTTCCTGTTATGAACACAGGTTTAGGCTTCGAACTGGAGCCCTAGCAGGCCCACTGCTGACCCCTGCTGGCTTCTGTGGGGCACGTCCTGCAGACCCGACAAGCCAGAGTATTGAGCCATCAGGCCTCTCACCTTTTCAGCCTTTACCTGGTCGGTGGCTTTTTACCTATTTTAACCCCTCCCCCAACATATCCTGGAGTTGGCAACGTTCTATGAATCCAGGAGAGAGGGCTCCCAGGCCTCTCCCAGGGGATCGTACCCAAAGCTGCATGTCAGGGTCCGTGGTCTCCAAGAGACAATGAAGCCTGGTAGTGTCCCCAAGTCACCTCCTACCTTCCTAACTTCATCTCACTTCCCTAAAACAGTCCATACTAGGGAAGATCAAGCCCTTCATTAAGAAACAGGTGGTACCTTCTAAACCAGGCCAGACTCCATCTTGAGTCTGATCAAAACAGCATCTGCCATTAGCTGTGTGACATCCCTCTGATTGTCTGCCCAAGGCAGCATGTGCAGGGAGGGCCAGGTCCTCCCCGCCCGGTCACGAACCAGGACACAATACATGTTCAAAGAACCCCATTTCACTTCCCTGAATGCTGCATGCCCAAGGCCTAGCTCACAAACCCTCTCTCCAGGAAGCCGTCCCTTGAACCACCTGAGCACTGGCTCTCGCACTGTGCACAGGACAGGTCAGAATCTGTCTCCTCCACTAAATGACCAAAAGTGCCAATTTGTTTCTGACCTCTGTCCCAGGGTCTTGTACACAGGTCAGAGCAGGTTTCACAAATCGTCCTGTTAAGATGCAAGTTTTGACTCAGAAGGTCTGGTGGCCTGAGCCTGCATCTGTGATAAAGCCCAAGTTGGGCTAATGGGCCTCGGGCTTCTTTTGAACATCAAGGGCTGGAGCTCATACTTGTTAAGGGCTCTCTTAATGTGGGGGTGCGGACAAACCTATGGATGAATGGACATCTGTCATCTAAGAACCAAAGCAAAAGGAGGGGCCAGCAGGCCTGGGTTACCCTTGAGATGAAGAACAGGCACAAAGGTCTTCTGCAGACATCCTCTGAGGACAACAGGGTGCTGTGGGTGAAGCTCACAGCCCGCTTCCCTCATTGTTCTTCTAGAGTGGAGAACCTGGAAAGTTTTCATAAAGGCTTTTTGTTTTTATTGCACATCATATAAAATTGACTGCACTGTATTTAAAACAGACAAGACATTCACAAGGATGCAGAAACTCAAACTCTTCTTTCCTGGGCCTCACCTGTGCTCCACACCGCTCCTGAGGCTGGAGGCAGCTTTAATACACACCAACTGAACCAGGTCACAAAGAACATGCTTATTTTGGGGGCTTAACAGCTATGCTGGGACCTTCCACACTGTCCAGTTTAGAAACTGCTGGTGACAATGACAGGTGTCTTGACAGGATGGCTGGGCCAACAGAGTACCTGGGGCATGGCAGTGTGGAAGGCCTGTGGACACCTGGTTTGCTGGTGGAGGCTGGGATTACAGCACAAGTGCTGAGAAGAAGGACAGGCAGGGCAGGCTGGACCCGGACATCCATCTCAGGACACAGATGACTGCACTGATGGATGCAGAGAGCAAAAGATGTGCCGAATCAGGCCTCACTCTGGCCAGCTGCTGGTGGCCCACTGCCCTTCTGAAACACACACTGGCCCAAGGGGGTTAAAGGGAGACAAACTGGGCATTGATAGAGGGAGGAGGCCAGGGGCCCTTAGTCCAGTGAGTGACATGCTCCAAATAGCACTCCAGGAAATGCGGTGGAGTGGAGCTCCAGCCCGGGAGCTCGTCACAACACCATGAATTGTAGGTGTTGCAGCTTTCACTGATTAGTTAGTGAACATTCCACTAGTGAACATTCTACATACACAGTGCCGTTGTCATTTTCACAGGGAGGGCGGATATGGACCTGGGGCCCAAAAATGCCTGTGGAGACCTGGCTAGCTGAAGGGGCTGCAGATCTCACAGACTGCTGATGGCCATGGGTGGGGAGCGGGGGACGGGCTGGTCGGTTTTGCCTCGCTTCTTCTTGCCTACAGGCTGCTGCCTCTTCCTCTCAAGCTTCTCTTTCCGGGCTGCAGCAGTGGTGAAGGTAATGCAGTGGGCATCCAGGAAGTCCAGCAGCTTCCCCGTGGTCATGCGGATGCCCTGCTGCTTCAGCTCGGCCTGCAGCTCTGCCAGCTCAAAGGGCTGGTAGAGCAGCACCTTGCGGTACAGTGCTGGCGTAGAGCGGATGTAGCGCCTCACTGCCTCCTCTGTGGTCACTGCTTGGACAGCTGCCTGTGAAGCACTGACCCCATCCTCACCCTCATCTTCTCCTGCAGACTCAAAGGCCACTCCAAACTCACAGGAAGAAGAACTGAAAAGAACCAGAGAGTATTTTGCAACACCCCTTCCCTCCAGCCCCCAAGACCAGGAGCCTCTCTGAAGGAAGAAGTGTGTTTCTATGTCCCCTGTGGAGCCTGGCCCATGGCATGGATGACCCCTCAGTGCTGTGTCCCCGGCACTCTAGCTGCTGGCCTGAGCGGGAACTTGCCCTCAGACAGAAACTTCTTGTTGGCTGCTGGCCCTCAAGGAGGTGTGCTGGGCTGGCCCCACTCGAGGGAGCATCCTGTGGGCTGAGGCCCACAGGGCACTGCCCTTTAACCCCATCTACGTTTCCTATAGTTTAAACTCAGAAGGCAACCGGTGTTTCTGAATACTGGCCCATCAAGGCCTTGCTTATGCCAGCTCTTGGACCCACTAGTCGGAGGACCTACGAAGCCACTGGCCCTGTCCTTCCATCTGGTTACCTTTGTGAGCTAAAGGAGCTGTCACCGCTGTCCACAGAAGTGGTCATGGATTTCTGAGAGGCCGGGAGCTGGGTGTCACCATCAGGGCTTAGGGGCACTTCTTCAGCTGGTAACATGCTCCGCGGGGAGATGCTTCCACCTGGCTGCTGCTTTCGATGTTGGGGGCCTTTGCTCTTAGCAGATTCCTTGGACCTTTGGGGAAGAAGGTCAGAAGTGGCCTCCAGGCTGGTGCACCCAGCTGCCCTTGAAGCCTTAGAGGTCTTGGTGGTGTGGGTCTGGCTGCAAGGAGCCTCCAGGAGCACCTGTGAGGATTGGCTCTCGTCCTCAGAGTCTGATTCCAGTGTCTGGTGAGTGTACTGGAATATCTCCTTCAGTTTCAGAACCATCTGGCGTTTGGGCAGAGGACGGACCCCAAACCTGAATGGAGAAACAGATGAACTTCAGCAAAGAGCAATTATTAACAAATTAATGGCTTTGCGTAACTGACATTTTAAGTTACACAAAGGTTAGTGTCTATCCTGCATACCAACTGAGCTTACTCTGAAGAATATTCTAGACGGGCTGTTCCCCCTGTTCTGAGTGACGATGGTGGCGATGACTTCACCAGGCCCCAGGTGAAGAGCAGCATTCATTGGGATGAGATAGTTCTGATGTTATTTTTAAAAATCAGGTCTCTTTACTCAGACTGTTAAGGCCAGGGTCCCATCTCCACCCACATGGGACATGGAGACCTGTTACCTGATGGGTGACCTGGAAGAGTCTCATTTCTTAGCTTCTTGAGGCCTGGGTAATTTGAAGAATAACATGAAGAGAGCCAGGAGGCATGAACCACACCCCCAGCGGCCCCCACCACCAGAGCCCAGGGTGGAGCCTGTGGCGGATCATTCAGCTTCCAGCCTTACTAAGCCTGGTCACTCATAGGAGGAAGGACCACTAATGAGCAAGCTTTCAAGAGCAACACCAACCTATCTAGTTCCTTCTTCAGTACGGGCGTCTCCATGATGGAATACTGTGGCATTGGTGTTATGGGCACTTTTGGGGGCAAGTTCTTCCTCCGATTAGCACCTTCTGGGTAGAATAAAAAACATGTTTCAGTATGAGGCACCTGAGTTTGCCAATTCTGACCCTGTTAGTGTCACTAAGAGAAATACTGCACTTAAAACCAATGAGGGCCACATCAGCCTTGTACAATGCTGATGCTGTATGAATGGGGTAGAAACAGATGAGTGACAGGGCAATGGCAGTGACTGCTAATGCTACAGAACTTATTTTGGGGATGATGAAAATGTTCTGGAATTAGATAGTGGTGATGGTTGTGGAATACTGTGAGTATACTAAAAATCACCGAACTGTACATTTTAAAGGGTGAATTTTATGCTATGTGAATAATGTCTCGGTAAAGCTGTTATTTTTTAAAAAGAAAACAGTATTTTAAAGACAAATGGGACAATTAGGAACAGATAGATGTTGGTTCTTATCTTTTTTATGAGCATGGAGCCCTTTGAAACACCAATGAAAACAACAGGCTCTGTCTCCTGAAAAATGCACAAAATTCTTTACATTATTTCAGAGTTTATCACTCCTTGAATCCCATCTCAGATTCAGATTAAGGTCCCCTGGTCTAAAGCCTCCCACTGCAGTTCTCACAGCACCACCTGGGAACCAGTTAGATATGCAAATTTTTGGTCACACCCCAGACCTTCCAAAGCAGAAGCTCTGTGGTGGGGCCTGGCCACAAGTGTTTTAAGAAGCTCCCCAGGAGATTCTGATGCTCACTCAAGGCTGAGAGCACTGAACAATGATGCCCACCTGGTCTAGGATTTTAGGAGGAAACGAAACACCCAGTCGCAGAGAGATGCTCTGCCTATAAGCTCTGCTTCCCCGTTACCAGTCACTGCTCAGTGCTACCCTACCCTTCCCTGCTCTCTCTGGATCTGTCCAGCTAGAGAGTAGGGGCAGCACCTTGAGGAGCTGACACTGGTGCTTTGATTGTCCCCTCTGACTGAAATGAGCTCAGGGATAAGGAAGGACCGAGGCCCAGAGCAGAACCCCCACACTTGCCCCATCTGTTGTTTTTACTAAGTTGAGATGAAATTCACATAATAAAATTTTAAAGTGAATAACTGAGTGGCACTTAGTATATTCACAGTATCGTGCAACCACCACCTCTATCTAAATGCAAAACATTTTCATCTCCCCAAAAAAAATTCCATACCCAGCAAGCAGTCACTCCCCATTCCCCTCTCAGCCTCTGGCAACATTAATCTGCTATCTATATGGGTTTGACTGTTCTGGACATTTCATCTACATGGAATCATAGAATGTATGGTCTTTTGTGACTGGCTTCTTTCACTTAACATTAGGCTTTCAAGATTCATCTGTGTTGTAGTATGTGTTAGTGCTTCGTTCCTTTTTATGACTGAATAATATTCCATTTCATGGATAGACCACATGATGGGTATTTGGGTTGTTTCTACCCACTGGCTATTGTGAATAGCGCTGCTGTGAACATCTGTAAACAAGGATTTATTTGAATCCTGACTTTAATTCTTTTGGACGTATATGTAAGAGTGGGACTGTTGGGTCACAACGGCAAATCTACGTTCAACTTTTTGAGGAACTGCACTTGCCCAATCTTAACGAACACAAAAGGTGTGTGTCTCGGCCTCTTGGAGGTACTGGTTCAGTTTTCTGGAGTCGGGTCCATAGGCAGGGATTTTTAACAAGTGCCCAAGCAAGCCGTAGGGACCAGGCAAGTTTAGGAAACCCTGACTTAGTGGCTAAGAAGTTTGATTGATAAGCTCATTCTTCCTGAACTGTAGATAGGGGTATGGAAGGCAAGGAAGGGGCTTGCTGCAGGTCAGCAGGCCCGTCAGCATCACCACCCAGTGTTGTCATTACTGATTTCTTCCCTGGCCCTTAGTGTAAAAGACAAACAACCTTGTCCACTACTCACTTGGCTTCTTTAACCCTTCTGATTTCTGAGCTCGATCAGTGCTCGGTGTCTGGGCCAGAGGAAGCACCTCTGGAGACTTCTGTTCTTCATCCCAATCATCCCACAGAGCTGAATTCAAGAAGCTCAGCCTGCTGCTCCCAGGGGAGCCGGCCCTAGGGGATTTCTCTTGAGACTTCCTACCGCCAATGCAACTTCCTCGGCCAGTGCAGCTTCCTCGGATGGGGGTCGTGCCCAGGAGTGCCGGGGAGTGGCAGTCACTAT